GGGTTGGGCGGTAGGAAAAGAATAAATGAAACAAGATGAGATCGGGAGGGAGACAAACCATAAGAGACTCTTAATGTCACAAAACAAACTGAGAGTTGCTAGGGGGAGGGGGGTCGGAAGAGGGTGGTGGGGTTATGGACATTGGGGAGTATGTGCTATGGTGAGTGCTGTGAAGTGTGTAAACCTGGCGATTCACAGACCTGTACCCCTGGGGTTAATAATACATTATATGTTTATTTAAAAAATTTAAAAATGAAAAAAAAATAAAAAATGAAAAAAAAAAGAAACAAGGGGTTGAACTCTAACCCCAAATAAGGCGATTTCCCTATACTCCCCCCCATTTGATTACATCTGAACTTGTACTTCAGCTTTGGATAGCCACGGTTACTTCCTGACGGCCAGACAGTCCACTAGCTCCATACCATGTAGGCTTCTGATATGAATCTGGACTTCAATTTAGAAGCATTCTCCCTTGGCTTTTACTGTAAACATAAAGCTTCCTACATTTATTTTTTTAAAGTAGGCTCTGTGCCCAGCATGGTGCTTGAACTCATGACCCTGAGATTAAGAGTCACCTGCTCTACTGAGTGAGCCAACCAGACGCCTCCCTTCTACATTTAAATTTTTAACAGCTGATGAATAAGAGATAAATATCAAAATTATTTTAACTTCTTGAGTGTATTTCATCCTTTCCCCCAGATTACACTTCTGCATTTCATCCCAAGACCAGGCAGCTGACTGGACTATACTTATCGGACTAGTAAATTGCCTGTTTTTTTTTTTTTTTTTTTACCAATTGTACTTTGGGTGAACTGCAGGATGTGGGATCAAGTAATTTTGACCTCTAGCTGGATGATTTAAAGTACACACACGCGCAGGTGTGCCACACACACACACACACACACACACACACACACACATTTCTTTTTTTTTTAAGATTTTATTTATTTATTTGTCAGAGAGAGAGAGAGCAAGAGTGAGCACAAGCAGATAGAGTGGCAGGCAGAGGCAGAGGGAGAAGCAGGCTCCCTGCCGAGCAAGGAGCCCGATGTGGGACTCGATCCCAGGACTCTGGGATCATGACCTGAGCTGAAGGCAGCCGCTTAACCAACTGAGACACCCAGGCGTCCCACACACACATTTCTAATGCAAAAGTTTCTCATTTTCTTCGCAGTAACTCTGTGGACAGAAAACATAACTGACCTTTAATGTTGAAGGTCAGAATGGTAGAGTAGAAAAGTTATGACTCTGGAGGCCAGGCAGATCTGAGTTTGAATATCACTTCCACCTCCTGCCAGCTATGATCCTGAGAAAATTACTTCACCTCGCTGGGCATCAGTATCCTCATTTAAAAAATGGATATAACCACATAGGTCCAGAGGGACAAAAGCAAGCCATCCCCAACCTGGAATTGCTTTCAGAATGGAATTAGGAAAAATCATGTTCTGATGGCTGCCAGGCATCTTTGGAAATGATACAAACTGAGCACAATTTGTAAATATTTGAAAAAATTTGAGACTTAATCCCAAATAATATGATTAGGGTTTGGTCTCAAGAAAGCACATCAAAAGCTTTAAGAAATAAGCCTTTTATACAAAATCAAGTACAATCAAAGCAGAATCAAAAATATGAGATATAGGGCACCTGGGTGGCTCAGAGGGTTAAAGCCCCTGCCTTTGGCTCAGGTCATGATCTCAGGGTCCTGGGATCGAGTCCTGCATCGGGCTCTCTGCTCAGCAGGGAGCCTGCTTCCTCCTCTGTCTCTGCCTGCCTCTCTGCCTACTTGTGATGTCTGTCAAATAAATAAATAAAATCTTTTTTAAAAAATATGAGATATACATATGATCTCCCTGATATGAGGAAGTTGAGAGGCAACATGGAGGTTTGGAGGGTAGGAAAGGAATAAATGAAACAAGATGGGCTCGGTAGAGAGACAAACCATAAGAGACTCTCAGTCTCACAAAACAAAGTGAGGGTTGTTGGCGGGGGGGTGGAGAGGGTGGTTGGGTTATGGACATTGGGGAGGGTGTGTGCTATGGTGAGTGCTGTGAAGTAAATCTGGCGATTCACAGACCTGTACCCCTGTGGCTAATAATACATTATATGTTAATAAAAAATATAATAAAAAACATATATAAGATATAGTCTTTAAAACAAAACTAAAAACAGAAATACATGGATCTGTATAGTCATAAAAGGTTTTCCCTATAAAAGGAGAGCCCCAAAGTTAATCTTTTGGTGAAGCACCTCTAATACTGCCCAGGGCTGAGTCCCTAACTCATGAATATGAACATTTGGTCCATGGGCAAGCAGAACACTAGAGTGCCATGAATATCATCTTTCAATACCCATTTCCCTTTGCTCTGGGGTTCTATGCTCACCATGAAACTTTCTATTCATTCTATTCTGTTTCTATTCGCTTTTTCACATATCGTTATATCAGGCAGATGTGCTAACCGGCTCACATGAATGGTGTGGTCTGCTAGGCCCTTCTATTTCTCCATGTAAATTAATAAGTTGGTATTCTGATTTATACATTGGACCCTTAGGAGTTTGGTTAGTATGAATCAATCTTCTTTTGACATACTCACAGAATTAAAATTCTGAAGAAAGATTTTTTAAAATTGACAAAAACCTAATACTGCTGCATATGTGAGGAAACAGCAGATCCTCAGGCCCAGCAACTTGTCTGGACAAAAATGTGGCAATGTGTTATCAAAATATGTACGTCCTTTTACCTAAATAAGCCTAGTGCTAGGAATTTAACTTTAGGAGGTAATTATACAAGAAAACAAGTAAGAATGTTCATTAAAGTATTGTTTATAGTAATTAAAAATTAGACATTTGAGTCATTTTTATCAATAGTACACTAAGGAAATCAACGATGTCCTACACATTATGTGTATGTAATAGGGGGTGTCTTGGCAGCCCAGTCGGTTAAGCGTTCAACTCTTGATTTCGGCTCGGGTCACAATTTCAGGGTCATGGGACCAAGCCCCACATGGGGCTCTGTGCTCAGCATGGAGTCTGCTTGACGCTCTTTCTCCTTCTCTCTCTGCCCCTCCCCACCCTCCCCTCTCTAAAATAAAAATAAATCTAAAAAACTTTTAAAAATGGAGTACCCAGGGGCATCTGGGTGGCTCAGTGGGTTAAAGCCTCTCCCTTCAGCTCAGGTCATGATTCCAGGGTCCCGGGATTGAGCCCCACATCGGGCTTTCTGCTCAGCGGGAAGCCTGCTTCCTCCTCTCTCTCTCTGCCTGCCTCTCTGCCTGCTTGTAATCTCTGTCTATCAAATAAATAAATAAAATCTTTTAAAAAAAATGGAGTACCTGGGTGGCTCAGTTGGTTAAGTGTCTACCTTCGGCTAAGGCTGTGATCTCAGTGTCCTGGGATCGAGCCCTGAGTCGGGCTCCCTGCTTAGCAGGGGTTCTGTTCCTCCCTCTGCCTCTGCCCCTTCTCGTGCTTCCTCACTCACTCTCTCTCAAATAAATAAATAAAATCTTTTTAAAAATTTTAAAAATAGGGACGTCTGGGTGGCTTGGTCCGTTGAGCAGCTGCCTTTGGCTCAGATCATGATCCCAGGGATCTGGGATCGAGCCCCGAATCAGGCTCTCTGCTCAGTGGGGAGCCTGCTTCTCTCTCTGCCTCTGCCTGCTTGTGCTCTCTCTCTGACAAATAAGTAAATGAAATCTTAAAAAAATTTAAATAAATGTGCCAGGCAGTAAATAAAAAGAAGGCTATGACTCTATATTTATTGACATGGAAAGATGTCCATGATAAACACATGGAGTGAAAATAGCATGTGTAGTATCTCGTTTGTACAAAGTCGCATATTTTTTTGGTACCACATGCAGTTTTTCCCTTGAATATGTTACAGAACATTATAATCCCATGAGTTCTGCCATTGTCTATGAAATGCCATGTATCATAATCATCTTCTGAAAAATCACAGTGCTTTCTAACATAATGACTACTCTCGATGCCATTGTTTTAACATCGTTTAACTCAGCATTATCTGAAGTAACCTCGTCATAGAATCCCTTTTTCACATAACGCTTTTGAAAATACAAAGCAAAAATAAATAAAATATGAAGCAACGAGTTTCCAGGAAAATCTTTGGGAAACATGGGCATCACGGTGCTGATAAATTATTCACTAGAAGGTTAAAAGTCAGTCTGTATGTCTATCCACCCTCCCCAAATACAGACCACTTCATAAAAACAGCCACTTACAAAAGACAAATGACAGATGTGAAACAATAATGAGTGCCGTATGTTGGGGACCTACTGTGTCATGCTAACGTCTTTATATATTCTGAAAATGAGGATGAAATAACATGAGAAAAAAAATTGAGCCTGAAGTCATATGACTTACCTAAGCTCACACCACTAGCAACCGGCCAAGCCTCAACTTGAACCCCAGGTCAGTCTGAGCCCAATAAGGATGTGCTTTTCGGGGTGTCTGGGTGGCTCAGTCGATTAAGCATCTGACTCTTATTTTGGCTCCGGTCATGATCTCAGGGTGGTGGGACTGAGCCCTGCATCAGGCTCTGGGCTTTGCATGGGAATCTGCTTGACATTCTCTCTCCCTTTGCCCCGGTCTCTCTTTCTTTCTCTCAAATATATATAAAAAAAAATTAAAAGATTCTCTTTTCACTACATGATACTCTGTCCTTTAAGGTTCCACTGGAGCAGCCCGACAGCCTGCCGACCCCAAGTGAGACTCCTCTGATTTTCCAAGTACTTCTTTCAAACCTCCACATAAAATAAGAGAAAGTAAGTTATCTGACACAGTACCTGAAAGGGAGATTTAATACAGAACTCCTTTCACGATTGTCCTCTGACTAGTTTTAATATAAAGAACTTACCTGCTTTCCTGGGCTCTTAGCTGTGTTATAAAAAACTTTGATGATGGAAATTAAGGCTTTACTATTAATGAAGTATATGTTATTTATATATTTGATCTGGAACAAAAGTAAGATGATGGCATGGAACACTTACTTCAAATCTCACGGAGTAAGTGTAGGTTACATTCATCTTATCTGTATCTTCTCCAGGAATTTCCATAGGGGGTCCACTGCAAGTCAGGTGGTTTTCATCTGAATGCTTATAGCTAAGAAAAGGGGGAGGGGAAGAAGGGAAAACCGCTGCTGTACATTTCCGAGTCATGGTTATTCAGGCATGTAAGAATAGCAGACAGAAGAAATACGCCTTCCATTATATTTCATATTTAACACTCTTTATGGCTTAAAATACTTCTGTTTATAAATGTCCCTAACACTCACATGAGAGTCAATATCCTGCCCAAAATGCAATACAGGTACCCCCGCTTTTTCGAAGCTCACTTTATTCCACTTCGCTTTAACGAAAGACCTACATTAGCACCTGTTTTCATGAACGGGAAGAAATGCGAAGAAGATTTTCACTTTTACAAGAAATCGAAAAGAGGATTCAGCATCACTTTTGCAGGAAGCCATCCTAAACGCAGCTAGCAGTCCCACAGCGAGAATGGCGCCGCCCAGCGCCTTCCCTGGGAACTACACAGCATGTTGACCTGAAGCTGTCAATGCTCTGAACTGTGTCTGTGAGCATCTGCGCTTGACCTTGCTTTACTTTGTGCATCCATTAGCAAGCTGTGTCTTAAGGCATTAGAAAAGCCTATGAGAGGTGATCTGGGGAGTCTGGGAATGCTCACAAATTTTTCCATATAAATTAATGGCAATTCCTTCTTCACTTTGGCATTTCAGCTTCCAAATACTTTCAGAGGAATGCTCTACTTCAGACAGCAGGGGAAAACATATCCCTAAGAACCTTCTCATGGTTCTTCTCATGAGCCTGGCTGGCTCAGTCGGTAGAGCATGCAACTCTTGATCTCAGAACTGTAAGCTCAAGCCCCATGTTGGATGTAGAGATTACTTAAAAATAAAATCTCAAAAAAAAAAAAAAGGAATCTTCTCTTTGGCTGTACATAGATTTTTTTAAAGTCCTTCTATTAGTAAATGGCTTTATTTCTCATCTCTCACCTTATCCCTCCCAATATGTTAAACAACCTAGCTTGTAATCTTAGCTGTAGGCTTAGAAAACCAAACAGAAATCATATTTATAAGCAGCCAGGGATCTGAGGGCCTACTGTGTGTAAAATGCTACGATTAGTGATGAAAGGTAGGAAGGACATAATCTATGCAAACAGGACTGATGCACTGAACAGGACTGACGAAGCTGACCAGCGCCTAGTCAGGAACAAAGAGACTGTAATATTACTTGAAAAATAAAAGCGGAATAAAGGGGAGAGAGAAAAATTGAAAGAAGAAACAGTGGTGCTTCCCTTTTGAATTATTTACTCAACATACAACTTATCCCTTGGCTTCCATGTAAAGGAGAATATGCAACCCTTATGGGATGGTTATTTCTACATGTATATGCTCAATAAAAACATTCACTCACAATTGCAGGAGTTACTGACGTGGCCCTCTTCCTATCTTTTTCATAACCCTAATGTCTGGCAGATGATATGCCCTTACTAAGTGTTCGTAGGCTGAATTCTATTTAAAGCCAAAATGTAGGGGCGCCTGTGTGGCTTAGTCAATTAAGCAGCTGCCTTCGGCTCGGGTCATGATCTCAGGGTTCTGGGATGGAGCCCTGCATCGGGCTTGCCGCTCAGCAGGAAGCCTGCTTCTCCCTCTCCCACTCCGCCTGCTTATGTTCCCTCTCTCGCTGTGCCTCTCTCTGTCAAATTTAAATTATCTTTAAAAAAATAAATAAAGCCAAAATGTATTTTTAAAAAGCTATGAATTAGGGTGCCCAGGTGGCTCAGTCGGTTAAGTGTCTGACTCTTGATCTCGGCTCAGATCTTGATCTCAGAGTCGTGAGTTCAAGCCCTGCATTGGGCTCCACACTCGGCCCAGAGCCTACTTTTAAAAAATTTAAAAATTAAAAGTAAAATAAAACAGCTATGAATTAAAGAAATGATCACTGTTAAGGCTACCGATAAAAACTTCACATCTACAGAAAAACATTCCATCACCGAATGACAACACATATCAAGGTTTACTGTTTAAGTGTGGGCCTTGAACCCAGCATAGGAAATACCTGAATTTCATGTGAGAGAGATCATGCACCAAAAAGTGTATTAAGCTCTCCAACCAATGTAAAAGGCCTATTTTAAACCACTGGCCTTACATACGTGTTGCATAAGGCCTTCTAGGTCTTTTGAAAATTTGGGCCTTTAAGTGAGATGGGAAGCCACTGGAAGATTCTGAGCGGAGGACTGACATGATTTGAATGCTCTGTATAGAATGCTGCCCGCTGTATGGGGAACAGACTGCTGGGCGACAAGGATGGCACCAGGGAGACCGGCGAGAGTGTTGCCACCAGTCAGGTGAGATGTAACGATGTCTTGGACCAGGTGATAGAGGTGGAGGTGATGAGAAAGGATGTCCTGAATATATTTTAAAAATACAGTGCCTTGGTCTGCCAAAGGATTGGAATAGATACAGGGTAGGAGTGAAAAATTGTAAAGAGGAGTCAAGGAGACTGCCAATAGTGTGGGGGCCTGAGCAACCGGAAGGATGTAGTTGCCATTTGCTGAGATGGACAAGACAACAGGAAAAACAGGTTGGAGGCAAGATTACAAATTCATGTTTGGTCACGTTAAACTTGCCAGGGCACCTGGGTGGCTCAGTGAGTTCAGCGTCTGACTTTGGCTCAGGTCATGATCTCAGGGTCTTGGGATCTAGCCCTGGGCAGGGAAGCCCACTTCTCCCTCTCGCCCTTCCCCCCCCCTCCACCACTTGTGCTCTCTCTCTCTCTTTCTTAAATAAATAAATCTTCTTAAAAAAATTCAAATACTTACTAGACATCTATGGTCATGTCAAGTAGACAACTAGATATACAAGTTTACAGATCTAAGGGTCATTGTTGGATTTAATACCATGAGATAGGATAAGATTACCAATGTGGAAGTATATATAAAGAAGAAAAAAGTTCAAAGACTCAGTCCTGGGGCCCTCCAATATGAAGATGTTGGAGAAATGAGAAGACTGATACACAACCAGTGAGACAGGAGAAAATCAGTGAAGTATGGTCATTCAAAAGCCAAATGAAGTCAGTAATTTTAATAAAAAGAAATGATCAACTATGGTAACCATCAGGGAAATTAGCTGGGTACAATCCCTAATAAAAAACACAAGATTGTAGGCCTAGAATACCGTGAGGCCTAACTCACTTCGTATGACCTTGAGCAGACTGCCTAATTGTAAAAAAAATAATTTACAGCACAGTCCTTGTTCTCAAGGGGCCCACATAAATGACCTTTACAAAGATTAGATAAAAGTTTCATTGCATGCATACATAAACTGTTACTATGTGCAGTGTTGAATAAATATGTCTAAAAAATATTTTCTTGGCTTTTTTACTCTGAGTCTGACAATATGAGATATAACTGTAAAGCATTAAGCTTGATTTTCATACAGCTGATGTGACTAGCTTCCTGGGTGAGCCCTACCTATGTTTGTGTTTACTACCTAATGACTGTATGTTTACTACCTAATGACTATGTTTACTATCTAATGATTTCAAATATGAGCAGCCATCCTGAGTTAGACCTCACAGTCCATCCTCCTAACATTCTGTTGAAGTGACATACACCAAAAAAAGCATCAGTGATTGCCCCGACAATGATTAGTATTTCCTGTTAATTTAAAAAGAATTTCAAAAGAATATCCTTTTGGGTGTCTGGTGGCTCAATTGGTTGAGCAGCTGCCTTCAGCTCAGGTCATGATCCCGGAGTCCCGGGATTGAGTCCCACATCAGGCTCCAGTCCCACATCTGGCTACCAGCTCCATGGGGAGTCTGCTCCTCGCTCTGAACTTCTCCCCTCTCAAACTCTCTCTTTCTCTCTCTCTCTCAAATAAATAAAGTCTTTAAAAAAAAAAAAAAAACCTCTAAACAACAACAAAAAAATTTTTTAAAGGATATCCTTTTACTAAGATAAACCAAATTTGGAAAGTACCAGAGTTCCTCACCACTTGGTGAAATCTATAGGCCCTTTTTACCCAGAAAAATACACATCAATAAAAATTTCCAGAGTTTGGGGGCGCCTGGGTGGCTCAGTGGGTTAAAGCCTCTGCCTTCAGCTCAGGTCATGATCCCGGGGTCCTGGGATCGAGCCCCACATCGGGCTCCCTGCTCAGCAGGGAGCCTGCTTCCTCCTCTCTCTCTGCCTGCCTCTCTGCCTATTCATCTGTCGAATAAATAAATAAAATCTTTAAAAAAAATTTCCAGAGTTTGATATATCAGGGACCATATTAAAAACTCCCAATTCAGTCCTCTCCTTTCACAGATGAGGAAATTAAGCCTATGGCAGATCAAGTTAACCGACCCAAAGGTCAAAAGTTTGGCACGATACAGTTTCTAACTCTTCTTTCCCTCTGGGAATCAATCATCTGTGCCAGACAGAAGAGCTTTGGCTGACATCAAATAGGGCAGTAACCTTAAAAACAATAAAGTCTGATCCATTTCTACAAACTAGGGTTGACTTACAAAATGGATCCAGGAGAGATGAGACTAAAATCCAAATTTCCTAATTCTTCATTCTGTCTTGGAAAACTCTATCACAAGGGCCTCCTTTAATATACTCACATTCTTTCCCCCATCTTAGTATTTCAGGTTTTATAATATTTTGCCCATAATGGACCATGACTTTACACGTTGTGTGCTATACTCCCCTCTCTGTCTTAATTGAAGAGTTCTCATTTATCCTATAGTTTTGAAGGATCCTATTTGCAACATTCAAGGTCACCTGTCTAGTCTCTTACATAGTGCTGATTGTCCTTTACAATCCGTTGAGCATTTATTGGGGACCAGACACTACACTGGATGCCTAGTTATGAACTCTCTAACAGCTGTGCCAACCATTGTTAGTAGATTCTTCCTTATTTTCAGCTGATACCTGCCCGACAGACTCCAGTAATAGACCTGTCCTCGGAAGAAACCCAGATCTAAATCCCAGCTCTTTGTCCTATGGCAGCCAGCAAAGAAGAGCGTTAGGATGCCCTCAATAAGTCTATTCCCTTCTAGATCTGTCAATTCTTCCTCACATTACATGATAGGCAAACACTAGGGAATAAATGGCCTGTTTGATTTTTCAAACCGTATGTCTAAGGTTACATCACACATGTATCTTAAAAACGAAAATTCTAATTGAGAACTCCTACATTCTGAATTAATTTTTAAATTAAAGAGGCTAATTAAAAAGATAATCTATAATTACCTTTGGGGGTCTAGTCTAGCAGCAACCAATCTTGCAGTACTCCAATTTCTTTCACTTTCTTTGTGATATGTGATAATAATATCAACGTGGTTGAAGAGATAGAAAGTATTACTTTTGTTGAATTCAGGCTGCAAAAAGACATGGAAATTTTAAAGAAGCTTGGACTTTTCCCAGAATCTAAAAAATATATAATCTGACCATTAATTAAAAATGAGATCCATTATAATATTACTGGCCAGGGGGCACCTAGGTGACTCAGTGGGTTAAAGCCTCTGCCTTCAGCTCAGGTCATGACCCCAGGGTCCTGGGATAGAGTCCCACATCGGGCTCTCTGCTCGGCAGGGAGCCTGTTTCCCTTCCTCTCTCTCTGCCTGTCTCTCTGCCTACTTGTAATCTTTGTCTGTCAAATAAATGAATAAAATCTTTTAAAAAATATTACTGGCTAGATTCCCTATGCTTTTTATCTTCATAACTTACTTATTTTATAACTGGCAGTTTGTACTTCTTAATCCCCTTCACCTATTTTACCCATCCCCCATCCCCTCCCCTCTGGCAACCTCAGAACCTTCAGAAGGAAACAACGCTGCCTACACCTTGATCTTGGACTTCTAGACTCCAGAACTAGGAGACAATAAATTTTTGTTGGTTTTTTTTTAAAGATTTATTTATTTATTTGAGAGAGAGAAAGCACGATCATGGCGCGGAGGCAAAGGGAGAGAGAGAATCTCAAGCAGACTCCTACTGAGCAGGGAGCCTGATGCGCAGGGCTCCATCCCAGGACCCTGAGACCATGACCTGAGCCAAAGTCAGATGCTTCACCAACTAAGCCACTCAAGCACCCCAAACTTTTATTGTTTTAAGCTACCCATTTTGGTTTTTTTTTTAAGATTTTATTTATTTATTTGACAAACAGAGATCACAAGTAGGCAGAGAGGCAGGCCGAGAGGAAGGGAAGCAGGCTCCTTGCTGAGCAGAGAGCCCAATGCGGGGCTCCATCCCAGGACCCTGAGATCATGACCCAAGCTGAAGGCAGAGGCTTTAACCCACTGAGCCACCCAGGTGCCCCTAAGCTACCCATTTTACAGTGTATTTTTAGTGAAGCCTTAGCAAACAAAGGGCTTTGTAATATGAGCTTTGGAATCAGACAACACCTACAAGCTATATGAACACAGACAAGTCATTTAACCTCTTTGAGCCTCAGTTTCCTCTTTTTAAAAATGGGAACAATCGGGGAGTCTGGCTGGCCCAGTTGGTACAGCATGTGATTCCTGATCTCAGGGTCATGAGTTTGAGCTCCACCTTGGATGTCGAGATTACTTATAAAAATATCTTTAACTGGGATGCCTGGGTGGCTCGGTTGGTTAAGCATCTGCCTTCAGCTCCAGTTGCGATCCCAGGGTCCTGGGATCAAGTCCCGCGCTGGGCTCCTTCCTCAGCAGGCAGCCTGCCTCTCTGTCTGCCTCTCTCTCTCTCTCTCTCTCACTCTGACAAATAAAAATTAAAATATTTTAAAAATAGATTTAACTAGGGACACCTGGGTGGCTCAGTGGGTTAAAGCCTCTGCCTTTGGCTCAGGTCATGATCTCAGGGTCCTGGGATTGAGCCCCGCATCGGGCTCTCTGCTTGGTGGGGAGACTGCTTCCTCCTCTCTCTCTGCCTGCCTCTCTGCCTACTTGTGATCTCTGTTTGTCAAATAAATAAATAAAAATCTTAAAAAAATAGATTTAACTAAAAAAAATGGGGACTATAATAGGATTGCTCATTGAATGGTTTGAGGATTCAATAGAATAATGTATGTATTCAGTACAGTGCTTGGCATAGGAAGCCTTCAACAAATATTAGCTCTTACATTACCCAAGCCCTTCAATCTTCAGAAAATGAATCCAAAAAAAGAAAGAAAATGAATCCAAATGAACCTTGTCAATTACCACATTCAGTAATCTACAACATGCAGGACACCTAGATTGAGAATTATGGCTCTGGAAATCCCAGAATTGAGGGTGATGGCCTGAAGGAATTTTAGCGATCCTTTAGCACAATGATAATAGAGAAGAGGGTAAGAGTGATCCTGTGGCGGAGTATCACAGTCAGCTTAGGGTGGAGAGTGAGTACTGCTCCCTGCAGGGCTGTCCGTAATTGCAAAGGACTAAAAACCACCAAGAAACCACTGTCTATCCACTCAGTTAAATGAAACATGGTGTGATCCTATAGAGAAATAAACTGCAGCTAGCAGATTTGCACATCCTAGTATGGAGAATACCACGTATTGGTAGCGGATGTCCACAATAAATACAAACGGAAGCAGTTAAGGACGTGGTCTCCACAGTCCAACTGCCTAGGTTGAAAGCTCAGGTATGAGATGTACTAGCCTGTGTGATCACAAGACTAGGAACGTTGCTTCATTTATTCATTCATTCATTCATTCATTCAGCAAATATTTTTGAACATCTGTTATATGCCAGGCACATCTTAACTATGCCCTAAGGGCTAATATCCTACAAGGGTTCAAATAATACAAGAGGTAGTTTCCTAGGTTGCAGAGAGAACGGAATTTGGACCAAAAAACACTGGGACGCAATTCAGATTTTGCCACATACACTCTTTTGTATGTCAGTCTTTCTTGGCCTTAGTTTTCTTTTTCTTTTTCTTTTTTTATAAATTTATTTATTTCACAGACAGAGATAGGCAGAGAGGCAGGCAGAGAGAGAGGGAAACAGGCTCCCTGCTGAGCAGAGAGCCCGATGCAGGGCTCGATCCCAGGATCCTGGGATCCTGACCCGAGCCGAAGGCAGAGGCTTTAACCCACTGAGCTACCCAGGAGCCCCTGGCCGTAGTTTTCTTAAAATGGGGACACCATCACTTACTTCATAAAATCATTAAGTGGATTAAAGTGAGAAATTATAGGGAAAGAACTAGCCCAGCACCTGGCACAGAACAAGGAGATCATTAAATGTTAGTTTCCTTCCTACTGATGTTAAAATTGTGTTTTGAATCTTCAACTAGATTTCCAATTCCAATCCACTTTGGGCTAAATCTCCTGCTGAAAACTACAAATGATAAATATAACATAACAAATATCTTCATAAAAGCAACATGAACATAGAATGTACAATGGCAAAAGTCAACCCTAATGTAAAGTACGGACATTGGGTGTAATTTTTCATCAATTGTGTAAAATGTACCACTCTGGGGTGGGCGGCTGGCTCAGTTGGTAGAACACGCGACCTTCAATCTCCAGGTTGTAAGTTCAAGCCCCACGTTGTTGTAGAGATGACATAAAAATAAAATCTTTTTAGGGGTGCCTGGGTGAGTCAGCCGGTTAAGTGTCAGACTCAGTTTCAGCTCAGATCATGAGCCCAGGGTCATGAGATCAGGACCCAGACTGAGCTCTGGCTCAGCACAGAGTCTGCTTGTCCTTCTTCCTCTGCTCCTCCCTGAGCTCTTGATTTCTCTCTCTCAAATAAATAAGTAAAATCTTAATTTTTTTTTAATTTTTAAAAACAAAATGAAATATACCACTCAGGTGGGGGAGGTTAATAGTGGGGGAGGTTATGTATATATCGGGGTAGGGAGTATATGAGAACTCTCTGTACATTTCCTCTTAATTTTGCTGTGAACCTAATCCTGCTCTAAAAAATAAAGTCTTTTAGGGGCGCCTGAGTGGCTCAGTGGGTTAGAGCCTCTGCCTTCGGCTCAGGTCATGATCCCAGGGTCCTGGGATCGAGCCCCGTATCAGGCTCTCTGCTTAGCGGGGAACCTGCTTCCTCCTCTCCCTCCTGCCTGCCTCTCTGACTACTTGTGATCTCTGTCTATCAAATTAAAAAAAAAAAAAAAGATTCTCTCTCCCTTTCTCTCTGCCCCCTGCCTGTTCTTTCTTTCTAAAAAAAAAGAAAAAGAAAAAAAATAAAGTCTTTTAAATTTGAAACAAAAACAAAACATGAGCTGTGGAGAAAGTGAGGAATTGCCATGCCAAATTCTAAGGGAAAGCTGGAAGCCAGAGAGTTAAGCTGGGTGAGGGAGCACTGATGTGGCTATTGCCCTGAGGACACCTGCTGATCTGGGTAAACTTGAACTTAAGTTTGGGTAGCCATGGGATAGGGAGGAGAGCACTCAGGGAGGGCCCTCCCAGCTGAGAAGGCTAAAATGAGACCCTCTGCCCATTAATCTGAGACCACTGACCCCTTGCAAAACCAATACCCTCAAAGGTAAAGATGAGCCAGAAGTAAGCCTTCTCCACACTCCCCAATGGACTATAAGGAAGATGGCCTTGATGCTAAACACAAAAAGGGAGTGGGGGAACTGTCCTTGAGCAGTTGTGGCCACAGGCCAGTCCTAACGTAGATTTGCAGTGTGGATTCCCATTACCTAAGTGGCCCCAGGAAATTCAAGTTGTGAATTTGTTTTAAGGCAGTCCCAGGCTGGTATTTTCCAAAGATGCTTTGCAGAAGTAAATGAAAATCTTCTCTGGAGGAAACCAGTTTGACCCTAGGACTCAAAGAAACTCCGCAAACAACTTTCTTTTAGAGATTGAGAGAGTGAGTGAGCGGCATTGGGGGGCAGAGGGAGAGGGAGAATCTCAAGCAGGCTCCATGCCCAGTGCAGAGCCAGACACAGGGCTTGAACTCACGACCTGAGACCATGACCTGAGCTGAAATCAAGAATCAGACTGACTGAGCCACCCAGGTGCCCCATCAGAAGCAGATTTAAAATTAACTACATTTACTATACTTCAAAGAAGTAAAATACAAGCATGACAGCATGTGCATGAAATAGAAAAGTACAAAATAATGATGTAGCAAATTTGCAAAAGGACAAAACAAAACTTGCAGAAATGAGAAAGCTAATTGTTGAAATTAAAAATTCAGTGCCTATGAGGGTTTTTTTTAGGATTTTTGAGGTTTGTTTATGTATGAATTAACTTATAAATTATCAGATGCCAAGGCAAAGGGTTCGAAAATGTGAGAACAAAAATCTCAATATGTTTGATATCAATGTTATTGTAATAACACATTTCTTTTTTTCCAAGTTCTTATTTAAATTCTAGTAAGTTAACACACAGTGCAATATTGATTTCAGGAGTAGAATCTAGTGATTCATCATTTACATACAACACCTGGTGCTCATCACA